TGAGATGAGGCTCGTACAAAGGTCTTGGTAAAACAGGCACTGGAGAAACATGTGCTCCGTTGTTTCTGTATGTTCAGAATCACCACTCATGCTCTAGTCAACTCTTGGTTGGACTACTTTAATGTGCTCTGTATGGGGCTGCCCTTGAAGAGTATCCAGAAACTTCAGCTGGTACAGAACGCAGCATTGTGGGCACCCATGCATATTTCTAGAACAGGGGTGTCAAATTCACGTCGTCACATTGTTGTCACATATTGCGACTTTTTTCCCCTTCACTAAAACGGGAGTGGGCATGGCCAACATGTGACGCATTCGGCCCACAGGCCACGAGTTTGACACCCCTGTTCTAGAAGAACACACATTACCTTTTTTTTGCTCTGGGAGCTGCTTTGCCTACCAGTTTGCTTCTGGATCCAATTCAAGCTGTTGCTATTCATCTTTAAAGTCCTATCTGGCATGAGGCTGGATTATTTGAGTGACTACCTCTGCCACCAGATCCATCAGAGAAGGTATGCTATGGGTCCCAACGACTGCTAGCCTTCCCAGGTAAACCAGACAGGAATCATGACAAGATGAGCTAATACTAATTTATCGTCAGGCCCCATTAACAGAATCTTACAAATCCAAAAGTACAAACTTCCCATTGTCATTTTTAACCACCCAATCAGGCCACGTCCTTCTGAAGTTTCCTCTGACTGTGAAGCCACTGATGGTTTTAGGATGGAGACTACACTCAAGGTTTCATCAGGGGACATAAGCCAACCTGGCCCTGAAGATTATCCACCTCTTTTTTTACTCAACTGAAGTGCTTGAGTAGCCTATTCCTTGTCTTCTCTAATTGAAATCCTTTTCAATATTACGATTAACTTTCTTAATTTTGCTATTGGAAAACATTTGTAACAGTATGGACCTGTATTTAGGAATTCAGCCATTAAGGCTTCCTCCATTGTGGAAGCAGCCTCCTGTTGGACATCAACCATCCAGTTGAGAGGAGGGCTCAAACAAGGATTCAGCCTAGTCTTGCTACCTAATATTTGATATTTTCCAGGTGAAAACTACCAGTCTAGGGAGATTTCTGTGAAACAGGCCAAGAACATCAAAGTAGCAATAGCAATAACACTTACAGTAGATTTATATACTGCTTCACAATGCTTTACAGCCCTCTCTATGTGTATTGTCAGCCTATTGCCCCCAACAATCTGGATCCTGATTCTACCGACCTCAAGGAAGACTGAGTCTACCTTGAGCCAGTAAGGATCGAACTCTTGGCAGCAGAGGTGGGCTGCACTTACGTTAACAACCGGTTCTCTGGTTGTGAGCGCGCGCAACCTCTTTGGGGCTGAAACACAGCTTCAAACATGCAGCTAATCTACTCAGGCAGCTCCGGTGAGTACAGCAGGCATGGTGCAGAACACAGCTAGGCAACGTGGGCAGGGAGAACGAGCCAGAAAGTTAGTTATATACAGGAGTGGGCTTCAAAAATTTATCAAAGGGTTCTCTGTCTGATTGCTGGGTGGGTGTGGCCATGGTGGGCGTGGCCTAGTTGGCCTCCTGCACCACAGCGGAGGGGGCTTGTTCTGTCCCAACTCATGGCAACCATCAATTTCCTTCTAAAGCAGAGGTCTCCAAACTTGGCAACCTTAAGGCTTGTGGACTTCAATTCCCAGAATTGTAAGTAAGGGTCATCAGGATTTTTTAATGCTTTCCTGCAGCCTTTAGGTAGCATTGGAACAAAAGGGAAAGTACTGTTTTAATACTAATGCAGCTAAGGCTGTCTTAAACCAGTCTCTCCTGATGGGGGAAAGCAGCACAATGTTGCTGATGAGCATTGGTGTCACAGTGAGATGTAGTTAGGAAATGCTCTTCAGAGTTTGTCAACCTCAGCAACTTTAAGATGGGTGGACTTCAATTCCCAGAATTCCCCATGTGTGGCTTCTGCACTACCTCACCTAATCCAGGTACCCAATGACGTTGCACTGTTAACGTTAGAAAGTTGCTAATTTGATAGCAGAGTTTTAGGAGATGAATATTACATTCTTGGTCTTTCTAAACAACAACAAAAAATCAGTATATAAGAAATGCAGAGGTACAAAATGCAAACATTCCAAAAGACTGATCAAATATAAGAATTTCGTGGCATGATTTACCAACATGATTCGTGGCAATTTACCAATATTGTGGCATCTTAGAGATTTCCTTTTCTTTTCTTTTTTTGAATATGGAAATAAAGATGTTTGTTTGATTATAAGCTTTCTTCCAAGTGGTTTTGACCTAGGGGTTGCTATTCTTTTTATTCATCTTCTTGATATTCTAGGATAGAGAGTGAGATTAAAAATACTTTATTTAAATAAAACTAATAAATGAAAAAAAACCTTTGATTTTATACTCTCAAATTGTTTGAAATCAAACACGTTCACTTCACATTTGTTTAGCACAAAAATGCCTGGAGAGAAGAATAGTCCAAGGTTATCTTCTTGCAGCCTGACCGTTAGTGATCCCTCTACCAAACCACCTGGTTTTCACCTGCCTCACTCTGTATGGACAAAATTGAATGGAATTAAGTGTGCTGTTGGAATAAGTGCCTCTGCCCTATATTCCAAAAACAGGATTCCAAATGGTTGGTGATTAATGGTTGGTGATTAATACCTGTCAACTGAGGCTGAGGGAAAAAAAATAATCATTTTTAAGTGGCTCACATCCGAATGGCTTCAAAGGCTTCTTATCTGCTTTGTCCTCCTTCGGTCAGAACTTCCCAGGGGCAGATCACTTCTTTGGCAGACTCCTGGTGATCTTCTTCCACTCCAACATCCATCGGGTGGATTTTGCTCTCCAGAGAAACCTGAAAGAAGGCGCTAAACCAAAGACAAACAAAACATCACAGTTTATGTATTCTCTTTATATTTCATATTTCTAAACCACCCATATCCCTCGAAGACAATAACAATATCAAAGTGCTGGAGAGCTTCTGCCTTTTAGGGATCAACTATCACCAGTAAAGGAGCAAGCAGTCAAGAAATAGGCATAGACCAGCACCTGGTAGAGCACCTATAAAGGCCTTGGGAAAGATATTCAAATACTACAATGTGTGGTACCTACAAAAATCTGAATTGTTCAAGCAATTATATTCCCTTGACACTCCAGGGAAGCAGAAGGTGGTTGAGGAACTCTGGGAGTTGAAGTCCACAAGCCTTCAAGTTGCCAAGGTTGGAGACCCCTGCTATGGACAGCCCAAAAAACAAACAAACGGATGGCTGAACCAATCAATCTAGAGCAGGGGTATCAAACTCAAGGCCCATGGGCCGGATCCGGGCCACGGGGTGCTTAGATGTGGCCCATGGGGCTGCCCTGGAAACATTGAAGGATCAGCCAGCAGTACCTCTGCAGCGAAAACAGAGATTGGAAGGGCCGGGTTCCATTTTTGGCTTCCTGCAGCCCTCTGCCAGCAAAAGCATGCAGCCTTCCCGGGCTCCATTTATGCTAGCAGAGGGCTGCAGAAGGCCGTTATGGCTGAACACAGAGCTTCGACAAGTGACTTCAAGCTGGCCACACCCACCCTGGCCACACCCCAAGGTCAAACACAACCCTGATGCAGTCCTCAATGAAATTGAGTTTGACACCCCTGATCTAGAGGCAGAAATGAACAGGGTCAAATACTTTGGACACATTACGGGCAGACTTAGCTCTATGGTAAAGGCCCTAGTATTGGGAAAGGTGGATGGAAAGAAGAGAAGACAACCAGCAGCAAAGTGGATAGACTCAGTTACTGGGGAATTGGGTATACAACTGAAAGACTTGAAGAGACAGGGCAGAGAAAATCTCTCTATGAGGTTGCTAGGCACATAATCAATCACAAAGCATTATTAGGACTACTGTGTTCCTCTGTTGTTCGGGAGAAGAAGGCCTGGCCACAAAGCCCAAGTAAAACCACCCATAAGGATACTCACATGGGTGCTTTTTTGGATTTTGGTTGAAGGTGTTGGCTCAGATCTTCTAAGGGTTGCACTTTTCCCTGCGCCGCAGCAGGATGCTTAGGTGAAAGAGTGGCAAACACCGGTGAATTCATGCATCGCCATTTCAAGAACCTGCCCAGGGACAAGGCCATCTTTGGCTGGGGTGTCATCTTGGACTTGGAGTTGATAGCATTTGTTGAACTGTGGCAATTGTCCAGTTCAGAATCCATGGAGTTCCGAGCCCTTTCCAGGAGGGAAGGAATGGGATCAGAACCAAACCTGTTAGGCTCCAAGTTCTTCTCCCTAACAGATGCATCGCTTAAGGCTGCCCGAAGAGGTGCGGAGTAACTAGCAGTGTTTGGCAGAGGGAGTTGCCGGGGGCATTGAGAATCAGACGTACTAGTGTAAACAGCCAAATGGGAAACAGGAACAGTAAATTGACATAACTGCAGGGAAAAGAGAGAACGGTTATAGCATAGACAATTACATGGAATTCTTATAGAAAATTGAGGTTTTTATTACACTTGGTCATCTGTAACCATCTTCGCTAGGGTTCACGTTATGGTCTTCCCATCATGGCTTTCTACAATTCGGCATGAGCAAAGCAATGCTATTGCTGATTACAGAGTGTATGGGCTCACATTCAGTCTGGTCTGGCTTCTGCCAGTAGATAGAAACCAGCCAGTCCAGATGTACCAGAAGTCTAATCTGCACATTTCATCTCAAATTAATTTTTGAGAATGGGGAAATTTTACATCTCTTGTGGCCCTTAATATTGCATCTTCAGATGCATGACCACTGCTAGAAGTTGTTCTCTCTCTCTCTCCCTCTCCCTCTCCCTCTCCCTCCCTCTCATCCTAGCTAGCTACCTATCATCTAGCTACCTACCCCATCATCTATCTATCATCTGTCTGTATTTATCTATCTATCTATCTATCTATCTATCTATCTATCTATCTATCTAT